GTGTGCCTTGGCAGTCTTTTGTTGCGCAATAAACACACCGGTTTATTAGTTGTTGCGGTTGGCAAAGTAAATACATATTTGTCAGTCCATTCATTATTCATTTTGGAATTGGCGATTTTCCGAATCAACTTTACGTTTCTTGGTCTTGGAGAGACATCTTGAAGCTGTTGTTAATTAAGTACTTTCTCTGTGACCTCCTAGAGGGGCTGTCTCTGCCTGTACTTCAGTCTGGCCTTGAGAGCTGGCCACTGTCTAGGGATGTTGGTTACCTCCTCCTCACAGAGAACGGACTCGAAGTGGGTCACCATGTTCATAACCTGAACATCACCATATGTAGCTAGTTGTGCGTCTGATCTTGGGACGTTCCTGGGTTGACCCCAGGAACATGGAAATCACTGAAAGGGGTATCCTTCAGGAAGGAAAATCTCTTTTCTAGGAACTTCACAGAATTCTCCAAGAAGGAATTCTTCACTGTTTCTGGAATACCTGTTCCTTTCAGTGAAGTGATGTNCCTGGATAGGTTTGATTTACCCGACTTAACTAACCTTAACAAACGCGATCTCGCTAAGCGGTCCTACGAAGCTGGTTATCAACTCAGTAAATCAACCAGGGTTTCTCTGTCCGGCTGAGAGCGCGTTCACGTGAAATGGACGGGGTTAGCGTGCTGACAGCGCAGCCTCATACTTCATGAATGAAAAGTAAATAGCAAATCCTGCTTCGTAGTACAGGCCACTGGTGCCGCAGAGATTTCATAAAGTGAAGGAGCAGACACTGTGAGAGTCACGGATATAATTCATAGCTCAAAGCAGACTGGTTTACAGACTCTTCTGTTTTGCGAATCCGGTGCTTAAACAAATAGCTCTAAACCCCTGGCAAAAATATATCTCAAATAATATATGCACTGCCATTTATCCACATAAACATAACAGTCTGCAATGAAATGGTTGTCTCCTCTGTGCTCCACTTCCTACTTGGCGCACCAGTAACTTTCTCGTGCGAACGAGAAACTAACAACATACTTTCTCGTTCGCACAAAATACTTTCTCGTCTGCACGAAATACTAGTTTGTGCGAACGAGAAAGTATATCGTGCGCACAAGATACTTTTTTTTTCTCTCCATGAACCTTTAGGGGCTCCGTACATTCATATGTAACCATCACTTATCTTTATCATTACACCGGCTTTCCTATTCCAATTGGATGTTTTACAATTTAAAATCCTTCAATACTTCAAAAGGAGTGAGTCATCCTCTCCGTTTTAAATACCTTTATTAAATCAGAGCGAGTGCACTGATGCGGTTCATCCCAGGCTTGTGAGTTCTCCATCTGTTTTGTGGT